TGCCGTCGTCTGAAATGTTCTACTAATTTGAAAGAGTTTAAAATAAAAAAACAAAAGATTCTCGGAAGCATTGGCAAGTCTTTTTTGTTTCTACTATTTTACTGGAGGTTATATTGTTCCATGCGACAGAGGAATAATTTAGTTCACTTCTTTATTATTAGTGTACTGCATTAGCAGCCAAAACACCCATTACAGAATCAGGGCAAGGGAAGAACACAATAATAAGTACAGCGAAATACCAGCAAACAGATTACCAAGAAATTACATGAGTGTGGAAAATGATAATATACAAAGGTAACTGGCTGCTGAATGCGTCAGTATCTTTGTAATAATATTTAAACTAAAATCAGTCAATAACAATAGTAATCATAACAAGAAGAACAACCGAAGGGTTCGACCGTTGAGCTAAGATTTCTGTTTCGCCATTTTGGCTCAAATGTGTTCATTTGTTTACGGAGCTGTTTGCATAATCCGTGCCCCGCGTCTCACCTGAGGTGACCGCCCGGAACGTGACGGGAAGCTAGCAGCAGTACTGCCTGTCGCCCTATGGTCAGGCTGTCTGAAGCGCGATGCCCCTCTCTGCAGACACCTTGCCTCTCACAAGAGCACAGTAGCTCGAACGAAGCTGGAACTGACGTCATTTCATTGACACGCGTCCCGTAGCCTGTCAGTCTATCTTCGTAAACCGATTTACCCTGACCTTGGTTGTTGGATCTAACCCTGAGGAAAGTGATAATAAAACGTTGCCAGGTCCAGAGATAGTGTTCTAGCGCTTGAGTTTGGGTTTTGACGCTGTGGTCCCTCATATTTTGTTAAGCTGTGTGTTATATCTCTTATCATGTTTTTAAGCAATAAATTTCGTTTTATCAGAATAAAGTTATGCAACATTGGCATGGTATTAATTTAAAAAGTGATTAAAATGGATCTGTATACGTGTGATTCTTCGTCACAAACTTGAAATTATACTCGCATTTTTGTTAATAATTAATCATTATCATAATCATTTCTAATTTCACAATCGTCCGGAATTTTCCACCCTATTTTGTGCTCAGGAGTAGAAATGTTGTTACCTAACGCATTAGTAACTTTCCCGACTCGTTTCGTTGACGGAATTTTACGATACTTTACTGCCAGAAGCAGCAGTAGGTCTGTGTATTTCAGGCGACTTATCCGTATCAGAAATCACAAACATTCAACCCATTCCAATTCGCTGAGATGGGCTGGTGTTGTTTGCGAACAGGGTGCTTGGGACATCATCTGGCCCCAAGTGGAGTGAAATGAAAGGAGGCTGGGGAAAACTGCACGGTGAGGCTCTTCATAATTTATGCTCTTCGCTAAATATTAATATATGATCAGGCCAGTGGCAGTTATGAAGGAGGGGGCATGTAGCACGCATGGATGAGATGAGAAATGCCCACATAATTTTGGCCAGAAAGCTTGAAGGGAGAAGATCACTCAGAATTACTTATTTCGATAAAGATGATTACTAAATAATGTGAGAACCTGTTTGCAGTTGCAAGTCAGTATCATTTACAGTCAATTGTTATGAAGTTCGATAAACTATTGTTTTTCAAAAAAGAAAATTGTTAATTTGGCCCAAAGTCTGAAAAGGTTTGCAAACATGCTAGAATGAAATATCTCCAGACAGATATTTTCCAGCATTCTAGCAGCACAGAAATATTTGAAATGAATCATGTTTTAGCCATATCTGTAGGAGGAACAGTTTTTTAAAAAAAACATATGGTTCGCATCAGTGCTGAAAGATGAAGATGTGGATACCGAACACAGAGCTGCACGAACATCCTGACATTCTGACATTCTGACGTTTGGTGGTTCACCTAACGTGAAGTCATGAATTAAGGAATTTCTGGGGGGGGGGATGTAGCTCATGCGGTTATTCGCCGTTTTGTCACTGCGGAGGCCCCGAGTTCCCGCCCTAGTGTGTCCATGTGGGATTTTTGATGGGCAGAATGGCACTGGGGCAGGTTTTTTCCGAGTCCTTCTCTTTTCCTCTGTCAGTATTAATCCACCGCTTCTAGGTACATATTCACTAATGTATACCATCTGGAGAATAGACAGTGGGCCCGTTAGCGACCCAGCTCCACACAGACAGTCTCACCCCTTGCATATTATAAAAGGGAATTCTGGAGAAAAACAGGCCAACTAATATTTTGTAGATGAAAGATGCATATCTGATGTTCTCACAGCATCAGGGCACAAATCTGGAGAGTGGCTTGTCGACGTTACGGTCACCTGAATATATTAAATTAAATTATTCAGTGTGAATACAACCTGATACATGAGTTAAGCGCTTTGCACGCATAGTGACTGCTGTTTTTATAATAGGCCTGCTTTAAAAAAATCTTCTACTTACAAGCACAAAGGTGAGTTCTAACGCAGTCACATTCATAGCAAGCTACTTGAAAAATTTAACTTACTCTGCGCCCCGATGATAGAGGTGGCAAGTACCTTTGAAATGTCGGCAGACGTCTACCAGGCTACGCGACGCAACATTCCAGAAGACAGTTGTCTGTCTTCTAGTCTGTAGTTATTGAATGTTAAGAAAAATATCCTGTACCTATGTGTAGTGTATGTCTAGAGCTATGAATATGGTTGTTCAGCTATGTGAATGTGGAATAAAGGAACATATAGACCAAAGTAGTAAACAGAACAAATTTTGGATCTCTGTGCACCCTAAGGAACCTGGAGACCTGTTTTTCCCCCGCCAGTAATATGTCAAATAGGGAAACCGAACGTGAACCTCGTTAATGAAGACTCTGTTGTTTTCATGCATTATAACTAGGGTACATTACCTTAGTACTTTCGTGTTCAATACATTACACAGGTTGAGCTGTGTATTGTTTCGTGAATGAGATTTCGAATAGGAATCATGGTACTATTTTCTTGGCAGTGGATACTTTGCGTGGGTTAACTCAGGGACACATTTAAGAGTTCGTCAGATTCAAGTGGATTATATTGTGGTATTGTATGGGGGAAACATGACCTGTGTCTGTTAAGTATGATCATCTTCCTGTATCAAACTTGTAGGAAACGTAGCCCATTTTTTTAAAGTAAATCGTGACATCTTACTGGAGCCTTTTCGGATTAAAGTAACGCGACATAAACCTTTTAACGTACGAGTAGCTCTGGAGAGAGGATTCATAAAGTTATCTCAACACAGGAGTTTTTTTCATCGAGTTTTGTCTTTAGTGTGGTTGATAACATATACGACGTTTCGGAGGATGATTTTGCTCTTGTCTACAGATATAAAGGAATGAATGGTGAATAATCTGTGGGATCCGTTGTGTGAAACAAATTCTTGTCATTAGGAGACAGAGTCGTCCTCCTAAACGTCCAGAAAATTGACAATACTCAACAGAACACACCCTCTGGACCATACTCGACCATTGTCACAACTGTAAGTTGGTAATATATTGTAAGATTTGAGGTTTTCACAGCGGTGAGTATGAAGATTTCTGTCTTCTGGGTTGTTGCGCCGTGGTAGACGTTTACCAACGTTTCAGAGGTCATACTGCCTCCTTCATCAGGACGATGAATATATTTATTGGCCACTACAGAGAGATGCTATCAGGAATCAGTGTTGAGTAATATGCGGTGGTCTAATCGACACAGTACGACCTCCGACATGACGTTACATAAAACGTTATTTGAAGTCAAAATTATTTTTTGTGTTCCTTCTGTAAAAACGCTGTATTAAAATCAGGATAACGAGCTGAGTTTGCACGGCTGATATCTAATTATTAGATGGAGTACACGCCTTGTTGAGAACCTGATGGTTGTTCAGTTGGTCACTAATTTCCGCGCATATTATCGAAATCTGAAGTACATTACCGTGCTAACTACAGCTCTTGTGTAACGTTTCGTTGCTTGCTGATATTGTTGTTTTGGGATCTCATTAGTTTCCCGCCAAACCCCAAAGCTGGAGGACAGCCCCTTGTAGGGGGGGAAATAAATAGGCTTTTGTTTGTCTCATTAAAACAATCCGGAAACAGATCTTGGTTGATTAAGAAGAGGTGCGACAGACTCTTCTCTTTCCCAAGATGTGACTTTAGTAACAGTTGATATTTTTAGGCACTGATGTCGCTGTCTCAAACAGCCCATCTAAAAATTAGCTGTGAGAAGCTTAAAAGTTTAGTTTTGCACATTTTCAACGCACTGTTTGCATGCCAAAATGATCTGTAACAAAATAAAAAATGTTACTTTAATAATGTTTCTTTTAGTCACGTAACACAATCTTCACACAGAAAACATTCGATGTCTGTCATTAAGAGAATGATTTCTGTAATATGGATTTGCTGTACACAGGCAACCAAAACTGCTTGTTTTTGTTTCCTTTCTCTGAACATTAAATATGCTTTTAGACACGACAGTCATTTGTCATATTATGGCCGTAAAAGCAACAAGAAAATGTAACATTAATTGTATATTTTTGTAAACTGTATCGCTTCTACATCGTACATTCAGTCGCGTGCATCCTAATATTTTCAGATGGCCATGTAATCATCAACACCAAAGACATGTGAAGGACAAATATATATTTTTATTCAACTAAAGAAAATCACAGTTGATTTGGCAGAGATTTGCGTTTTTGCACCAGTGTTATTCACGTTTCAGCTTTTTGACACATGGTGCATAAACGAAACGGATCAAATTGGCGACGTGAAAAACATTTACATGTCCGTTTATCAGACGCCCATTGAATTCCGTTCTTTGATTAATTACGGAAACCTCAAAACAACAGAGGCAGTCGGTAGTAGTTCTTGTCTTTTTTCGTTCATGCATATCTCAACCAACGTAATTTTTCCTCATTTCAATACACATTAAAAAATTAATGATGTAACCGCTTCAAACGCCATCTGTGAAGCACGGCCGAAAACAATATCATTAAAAAAATGGAGGGGCAAAACAGATTTTCGGTAAAGGGAAAGGGGAAAGCCGATGAGTATTGGAGGGAGACGAGGAGAGAGTGCGTCTGCGCAGTAGCGCTGAGTGAGGTAGTCTAGCGGCGGTCCCTGCCAGTTTGAAATTGGAATGGGTTGAGTAAGCGGGCGAGTGAGTGAGAAAGAAAAAGAGTTTTTAAGTCTTCTTTATGGATTGAACGGATGGTCTGGGCCAAAGAGTAATATAGGCAGAAAAAATATAGCATAAAGGAGGGAAAAAGGGGGAAAGGAGGAGAGGTAAATGCAAGAAGATGGAAGGAGAAATCGTGAAGGGGAAGAGAGACGAGCCCCCGTTTTTCACTAGATTTTCATCTGTTTCCTTCAGTTCAAGTTTGGCGGGGGACAGGAATGGAGCGATCTGAATGAAACGAAAGGATTGATGAAATAAGGAAAGGGTTTTGTTGGGGGCTGGAAGTTCGCAGGACACTGATTTGTGCATTACGAGTTTTGTTACAAATTCCATAGTATTAGTATGGTGAAGTGAACCTGTAAATAAGTATTCAATGACAGTTAGTGGAATGTGGTGTAGATTAGACAGTGGTATATTGATTTTTAATTAGCGGTGTCAGCATTTTGGAACGTTTTATTACAGCAGTGCCTATACCTGAATTAGGCCTTAATGCGATACATGACGTGTGAATGTGAGATTGTACAGTGATATCACGTCATTTCATTCCAGTTGTTGGATATTTGCAAAGTGTTTGTGTGACATGTGTTGCTAGCTGTGGAACAAACCCGGCATGTCCTAACTTCTCTAAGTGTGTGTATGACACGATCTACGCTGTCTCCTCAGATCATCGTGTGCCCGGAGTAACTGACCTTTCAGCTATACAGCTGTCTACCTTCTCTACTGTTGTAAACAATCAACAATACAGGTTAGTACATCCATGACTAGTGAGTGCGTTTCACCTAGTTAATAGCGAACGAGTTTTTAATGCCATTAAACATTTGCTCTGCCTTATTCGTTACACCAACTTGAAGTTGCGGATGTTACTAGCCTACAGTAAATAATTAGGCCTCGGTCAATGTTTTAACGAGGTTCGTAACCGAAAGGGTCAAGTGATTTATAATCAGGTTTTTGTCAGTGTAAATAAAGATCTTCGTACGTAACGTGCAAAAGGCGATGAAGCTTTTGTGAGTATAATGTATGGTTATTGTTTTCCTTCTACGCAATTATACTTGGATATTTCCTTGTTTTGAATCATTTTAAACTGCTTTTGTTTCTGGAAATGTTGAGGTTTGTTCAGATGTTCTCATTGGATAATTCCACCAAGTACTCTTGTTTAACGTAGTTTCGAAATAAAAACCTGTTTAAATAGTATTTTATATTTAATTTCTATAGATGCATGTCTACTGTTGCTACAACATGTAGCGTCATGATTAGTTCGAAACATTTGCATTTTACTGGTGTTCTGAAACGAAAATAATAATTCAGATATAAATGGACTTCTCTTTAAAATACATACCTTAGTTAAAATATGTTCATTGCTTCTCGCTGTGTTGCGTGACGTAAATTCAAGATCAGAGAGGTACACGTATGTCCAGAACTTTGAAACGCTTTGTCCTTCGCTACTGGAACTTTGTGTACACCCGGAAAGCTTGTTTCAACGTAAAAGTTTTCTGTGCAGCCAATTTTTATATCAACAGTACATTATTACTGGCAACACCGTAAATTCTAATTCGCACCTGACTGAATGTTCCATCATGTAGTCGTATTGAAGTCAAGTCACTTGGTTTCTCCCATTTTACATTAATTTAATGGCCGGTGGCGTTTATGCAAATCACTTGTTTGTGTGGGTGGAAAAAGGGAGTGACGTAGAAAGGGCATGGTGTCTATAGTAGCAGTTAACACACGTTATTCCTTTTAGAGGCTTTTACGTTGTTTTTTTCCTCGAAATTTCTCGACTTCGAAAGCGGAGTGATCGATTCTGGGAAATGAGATGTGGTAACGCCTGCGTTAAGTAACCGGTGTTGTTTAAGCATCCTAGGTTCATCATATTCCTGTATAATCAAAGGTATTCAAGCCTTTGGGATAATTTTTACACATTTGAAAATAAACAAAGCTTCAGCCCGTAACACCTAAATAAACATCAGAGCTAATTCAGGAAAAATTAATATGAATTTGGATTTCATTTATGTGGGTTATGCAAAGTTGTGCAAAGATTGTTTCTCGTATTCAGTGCGTTTGCAGGGCGTTTGTTCTAGTAACGAAGAGAGCTATAGTTTTAGTATCGGCCTTGCTGCTTCATCTCCGTAAAAAACAAGTTTGGCTATTGAACATGTTTTCCTAATTAAAATATATTTTTTTCCAGCGGCGTATAATACTAATGGTCCTCATTTTTCCGATATTGACGGTAAATAACATTTTTGCGACTTCGGAATTGTTCTAAAGAACACATGCCGATTTATTTAGCAATGCTAGCCAATGAGAAAAGGTGTTTAAGAATTATTCCGGTATTAAGAGTGCCTGTGGATTTAGCAGACTTGTTTTTGTCGAAAATGGTAATTTCTTAACACTTTTAAGCTCAGTCTGTGTGTTCACTTACTTGATTCATTTATTTCTTATGATTCTTAGAATAAACAGCGATTAACTCATTTACCTGAGCAACATTAACGAATTGATATTTGAGACGCTTTGTGCCTTCTTTGGGGAAGGAACTAAATTTTTAAATAGCATTTGCGTGAGCATAGGTCACCAAAGGATTAAAAAAGTAGTGCGAAGTTTAGAATTTAAGGATTTTTACAATACGTCGTCAGTACTGGTGCTGATTGTTTATTGGCATGTATACCACACCACAGTTGCCATAATCATGATCACTACCGCTGTTGATGGCCTCAGCCTTCACTGTCAAATGCCTCCAAATTAGGCTTTTCATTTGTAGGACATGAACTTCGATGTTTCTCTGGTCTTTGGTTCTGTATCGTGGCCTGAATACAGGAAGTCCATAAAATTCAGTGGAATGACGTCTTCAGTTTTGGAGCGTGCGTCAATCAGCTCCCGCCGCGGACAATTCGTCAAGAGGACCAGACTTGTCGGTCGGATTGGGTGTCGTCTCTGGCCCTCGCTAGATCGCCGCTCATGTTTTTAGAAGAACCTTTCATTTCTTCCCTTCTTTCAGAAAAATTGGCGTTAAAATAGAAAGTGCTGGTTTTATCGTCTCTTTGGTGTGAGTTAAGAACTTACGACAGTAGGGAGGAACGTGTATGCAATTCTTGATTGTTAGATCTTACTTGGGACAGATTGAGGAGATCCAATCCGTATAGCTTTTGTAGTTTTCTCTTTACCGAAATTTACTTAACAATTTTTTTAAATTCACTTTCGGCCACTTCCATGGTTACAATGTAGTATCTTGTGTAAGAAATAAAAACAGTTTGTTTACCACTCGTTGTGGAAAACTATTCTGATCTTTTGGCAATAATCTGTGTGTTTTCTGTAACATAAATGTTTTACTGATAAATCTGTGGACTCTGAAACTTCTGTATTTGTGGTGGTGTAGATACCGCATGAAAAGCGGACTGAGTGAAGATGTGATTTTTAGCATGCAGTCGATTTATCTTTCTCTGCCATCGAACTCTGTGCGAATTATGATTTTACATGAACCTAATCTTACTGTAACTTAACCCTTTTCTCGTTAATGTCATTTGTGGGTACTGTTTTAAACTGGCTCTGCTAATGTCTTATAGATCACTTTAAATGTATTTTTACATAAAATAACTTATCACGGTTCTTCGTTGTGTGTAGCCGCTCGTAGGTTCGAGTTTCGTTCAAGGCATGGATGCAAGTTCGCTTTCTTATGTGTTGTGTTGCCCTGTGTAAGTAGAGACCTTGGCGACAGGCCGAAGGAGTTCTACCGAATGTCAAAAAATGTTCCAGAATCCGATGGAGAAAACTTCTTGAAAGACCAAGGCTCAAGTTATAGTTTTAACGTGCATTTTGAAAATTCGGATTATTTTCTGTCTTTGGGGTAGGTATGTTGTTTACACATCCGGTGGCTTGCAAAATCAGAGGACTGGAAACAAATTGGAAGAACTGAAATATTGTAAACAATTAATTTTCAATCTTGAATTGTTGAGGCAGACGAAGTGTAAATAATAGATGTTGATAAACATATTTGATTAGTGATTTACAACCAGCAAAAGATAATGAAGCGTCATTAACATTGGTATCTTACTTTAGCGTAACTCGTGAAATTTGTGAACTCAAAAAACGCCGTTCCGAAAATGGTTTTGTTGTTACTGTACTGGATGGCAGTTTTGCCTATGAAACGTGTCTGATTTCCCCCAGTTTATTCGTATAGCGAATTTAATGGATGTAGGCCTAACATTTCCAGATTTAAAATTTGTATGAACAAATTCTCATTAACTGTAAACTTCAGTAAGAATCGTATGCAATTACTTCAGTCGATACTCAAATTATTTGCTTAGTCGCTTGCATCTAGAATTTAAGTGGTTGGTCTACATAGTCTTTAAATCGGAATTTCACGTGAAATGAAAATGATTGTTTCCAGCCGCTTGTTTTAATATGCTAGTCTCTTGGGTTAACTTGTGAGCCCGCACGTTAAATTACCCCGTTCTCGAACGCGTCAAAGATGGCGTCGCGATCGAAAGACGT